GGCTGCGGGTGTCTGGGCTGGGTGGATGGGCCTTGCCGGGCCCTGCTGATCGACTTTCCCCCGCAGGATGAGCTGACGGCTCTGAACGTCAAGCAAGGCTTCAATAACCAGCCGGCAGTCTCTGGAGACGAGCACGGCAGTGCCAAAAATGTCAATTTCAACCCAGCAAAGGTGAGGGCCATCGGGATGGTGTGGAGGTTTGGGAGGTGACTATAAGGGCTGGCTGCTGGGTCCTGGACAGTCCTGAGTCTCATTCCTTCCCTGTGTCCAGTACCGGGAGATCCTTCCCTTTATAATGGGTGTTTCAGGATGATCTGAGCCTCTGTTCCTAGAGAATCAAAGTTCTGCAATGTTTTGGAACATCTGAGAGGGCAGGTTCTTACCTTGCTCTGCACATCTTAGGGGCAGGTGTATCTGTGGTCTCTGTTAAACCAGCATCTCCTTATATTCTGCAATTAAAGCAAAAAACTAGGATACCAGAAGCTGGAAAATTCTTCATATTGGTTTGGTTACATTATAGCCATGGTAGAAGAGAAGTAAGATTTCTTAAAACATCTGGCAATTTAAGCAAGGAAGTTATGTAACAGGCTTCAGCTTCATTTTTCCAATCTCTGAAATCAAGATATTAACTTCCTGGCTTCCCTGCCAAGAGGACTAATAATGACTTGGGGTGGAAGGCAAGCCATAAGCACAGTATATTTGTTTTCCTTGGGTATCGTGTGTCCGAGGAGCCTTCTGTCTGGTTTGACAAACCTGTCTCAACGTGACCCCAATGCTTGGTTATTGTGTCAATTGTCTGGAAACATTCCTGGTTGCAACTGTAACAAAGGAAATTATTAGCAGGTTTTTTTGTATGTTTCAAAAGTTGATGCTGGTGGGACTTAGGGTAGGAGTGATAAATTTTAAGATTTTAAGCACAGAGAATAGAACAGATCTTTGACCTGTGAAGTGCAGTTAAACTGTTTTTTACTTTATTTCCAGATCAGTTCAAATTTTAGCAGTATTATTGCAGAGAAGCTGCGGTGCAACACATTGCCTGACACAGGAAGACGGAAACCCCAGGTCAATCAGAAGGATAACTTCTGGCTGGTGACAGCACGTTCTCAGAGTGCCATAAACAACTGGTTCACAGATCTGGCTGGAACTAAGCCCCTCACTCATCTTGCCAAGAAGGTATGTTACAGGAGAGGTGGCCTGGCAGAGCTGAGTGTTTCATCTGTGCTTGTTTCCAAAGTGTTTGTACAGCAGAAAGTTTTTACTATTTGGAGAAGTTTCTTCTCTCTGCATCTCTTGAAGCTTTCAGCTTGAAGGGTATATTCAGGGTCTGTAGTGCACTGGCTGTAGTCATCCCCATCCAACGAACTGATCCCTAATCTGCTGTTTGGAGGTTTTGTTCAACTTTGCCTTTTGGCTTATGTGATACGACTGGTTTATTTTTGACGTTTGGATTTTCATCCAAACCAGGACACTTCTGAAGAGCTGCTGCTGTTCTCTTTGCTTTGTTGTTTAGATTTGGACCATTCCTACTGAGAAGGTTTTTCCAAGTTCTCAAAAGTCACAGTAAGGATTACTGGAAATAATCAGCTGAGTGGTTTACCAGACTTCTGTTGCATTGACATTGGGGGGTTGGACTAGATGATCTTTTGAGGTCCCTTCCAACCCCTAGGATTCTGTGATTCTGTGTGACACGTTTCTGGTTTTCAGCTGAGAACAGTATGTGCATTATAGCTTGGTCTCAGCCAGGCTGGAGCACTTCTGTGCCCTGGGGTCTAGGACTGGGTATTTCCCTGCTAGCACTGAGTTCTGTAGAGTATGAAAGAAAGAAGGTTCTTACTCTGTAGTTTTCTTTGGCTTAATAGCAAGGGGAGCTAACTCATGCTGAGGGTGGGCCTGTAAACTGGGAACTTGGGAATCTAGTATGAATTGTGGAAAAACATAATTCCCCATTGGGAAATGGTAGCAGAGCACATAGTTTAGAAGCTGATGTTTGTCTGGTCCCCGATGTTATTCTCAGGGGAAAATAAAGTAATCAGATTTTCCCAGAATCTCTTAATAAACTTAGTCCTTGTGTCCTTCTTTATGTATCGTCTGTCAGTTTCCTGAGGTCATTGAGAAAGCCTGAATCTTTCAAGGCCTTCTCTAGTTTCCTGCAATGGGCTCCGTCAGTTTCCATGGACTCAGACATGACAGCAGTGACTGTCAGTAGCCAGGCAGTTTGTGTCATTGTGTAAGTGAAGCATCAGATAATAATTGAGAAGAATGTAAGAAATGTAGCAAGTAATCAATTAAGCTTTTGCTAGTTCAGGGACTTAGAAATACTTACCAAATAGTAGATATTTTTTGTGAATTTGTCTCATTCCTCTGTGAACACACACATACTTTTGCTCTCCATGGTATTCTGTGGAAATGAGCCTCACAGCTGTGCTTTTTTCCATGATGTATTATTGCTTCCTGGTTTACAGATCTGCAGTCTGATGGTTTCACTGGTATCTTCCCATGTTTTATCTTGAATTTTGCATCTTGAATCTTCCTACTATGGTACTGAATTCCATGTTTCTCACAGTCTTCTGTTGGCTACTCATTAAATTACAGGAACTTTGTAACCACTCTGGTTTTTTATTTCTGCAAAATGAGGGGTCCTTTCTTCAGTCTGTGTAGTAGATACTCTGTGTCTGGCTCCTTAGCCTGTATCTTTTGCAGTTTATATCCTCTCTGGAGGATATCCTCAAAGCTGTGGATTTACAGTTATGTCATTTTGTTTTCTGTTTGTTTTGTTTCTATTTATACTGAAATGCAGGTCTGGTCCTGGTGCTTTCTGACCAGAAGTGAATTCTTGCAATAGACTTTTTGAGATGCAGAGCAGCACAGTGCCTTTTCCCTTTTAACATTTCTCACAGCTTGCAGTGCCTACAGCATGTGCAGTTGCTTTGGAATAGTTCCCATCTACATCCTTGGCTGCAGTTCTCCCTCTCAATTCTGTTACAGGTGCCCATCTTTAGCAAGAAGGAAGAAGTCTTTGGTTATTTGGCAAAATACACTGTTCCAGTAATGAGAGCAGCCTGGCTCATCAAAATGACTTGTGCCTATTATGCTGCCATCACAGAAACCAAGGTGAAAAAGCGTCATGTCATTGACCCTTTCATTGGTAAGCACTTGTGTGGTTTTGTCCATCCCAGGTGTTTCCTTCACAGCCTGCTCTTGAACAGTAAGAGGTAGCCTGGTAATCCCTATAAACTTGTTTCCTGTAGCAAGTAATCAATTAAGCTTTTGCTAGTTCAGGGACTTAGAAATACTTACCAAATAGTAGATATTTTTTGTGAATTTGTCTCATTCCTCTGTGAACACACACATACTTTTGCTCTCCATGGTATTCTGTGGAAATGAGCCTCACAGCTGTGCTTTTTTCCATGATGTATTATTGCTTCCTGGTTTACAGATCTGCAGTCTGATGGTTTCACTGGTATCTTCCCATGTTTTATCTTGAATTTTGCATCTTGAATCTTCCTACTATGGTACTGAATTCCATGTTTCTCACAGTCTTCTGTTGGCTACTCATTAAATTACAGGAACTTTGTAACCACTCTGGTTTTTTATTTCTGCAAAATGAGGGGTCCTTTCTTCAGTCTGTGTAGTAGATACTCTGTGTCTGGCTCCTTAGCCTGTATCTTTTGCAGTTTATATCCTCTCTGGAGGATATCCTCAAAGCTGTGGATTTACAGTTATGTCATTTTGTTTTCTGTTTGTTTTGTTTCTATTTATACTGAAATGCAGGTCTGGTCCTGGTGCTTTCTGACCAGAAGTGAATTCTTGCAATAGACTTTTTGAGATGCAGAGCAGCACAGTGCCTTTTCCCTTTTAACATTTCTCACAGCTTGCAGTGCCTACAGCATGTGCAGTTGCTTTGGAATAGTTCCCATCTACATCCTTGGCTGCAGTTCTCCCTCTCAATTCTGTTACAGGTGCCCATCTTTAGCAAGAAGGAAGAAGTCTTTGGTTATTTGGCAAAATACACTGTTCCAGTAATGAGAGCAGCCTGGCTCATCAAAATGACTTGTGCCTATTATGCTGCCATCACAGAAACCAAGGTGAAAAAGCGTCATGTCATTGACCCTTTCATTGGTAAGCACTTGTGTGGTTTTGTCCATCCCAGGTGTTTCCTTCACAGCCTGCTCTTGAACAGTAAGAGGTAGCCCCTGCTGATAACTCTTAGTGCTCTGATGTGTGTAACTGTCCAAAACAACAGGGCCCACCTGTGAGAGTGCACTGT